AGTAATTTAATCATTTCATGTTCTGATTAGTAAGTCAAGTTTAAAAAAAAGCTTTTGAACAGTTCTTTGTAAAAATAGAAACAAAAAAAAGTAAAGCAATTCTGAAAGTATTTCAGAACATATATAACATTTAAAAAAGACTCCTTAATTATCAAACGAGAGTTTTGTATTTTCAACAAACAATTGATTATAACCATGAGAGCTAGTATTCGATTCAAACTATTTTCACGCAATAAAGGTGAATGATTTAAAAGAAGAAGTAAACTTGCTGGTATTAAAAATATGATTTGTTAAGCATTAAATCACTCCGGTGCAATGGATTTAACTTAACTTAAAGTTAACTTAAAAAAATAATCTTTCAAAGGATTTTTAGAAAGACATGGAAAAATAGTTTAAAACGCTTAAATTTATCATAAAATATACATGCCTACTAAAAAAAAGTCAAATATAACATTTAGTTTACTCAAAACAATAATTATAATGAATTTTTTATTTTATTTAAAGCCTTAGTGTAAAATAAAAACTTTAGAAAAGATCAACAACTAAAAGTTATTTATGTAACGTTTTTTTATTGTATTTAAATCGCTAAAACATCAAAACAGCTGTGGTCAAATTGAAAAGAAAAAAATATATAAGCATGGTCAGTTACATCACATGCCATTCCTGCTGGATTTTATGATACCAGTAGCAAAGTGATCATGATCCTGAACCTGGTCTGAAGTAGTTAAAAGAAGTTAATTCTAAACAGGAACATTGAACAGGAGATTTAGATATGCACTAAGAAAAACATATCTAAAGGAATACTAGAAATTAAGGTGAAAGTACTTTATACAGTTGTAGCCACTAGTTGGTAACCGAGCTAACACTTCACGGGAGACTAACACTACACTAAAGTTTCAAACAGAACAATTGGTCTTTTTTTAAAGTGTTAAGCTGCCAGCAAGTGCTATTTACTAATGAAAAAAACTCAAATAAAATTAAAAACTATGAAAACTTAATTTCTATTAAACTGACTATTTTATCAAAATATTTAGTAACAAAAAAAAATTGTTTATATTTAATGAAAATTTTATTTTTGTATACCAAGTTATTAAACAAAACTTAAAAAAAATACCATAAAAGAAATACATATAATAAAAACTTTTATTTATCATCTTACGAGCACAAGAATATTTATACAACTTTTGTTTGCTATTTAAAAATATTTACTTAAATTTTATTTAATAATTAAAAATTTATTAAAGCGCAGCAATTATTTTTTAATAAATGATATAGAGTAAAATGGGGTCAAATGGAATAGTTAAGGATTTTATTTATTCATTTTTTACTTGTATTGGTTTGCAGCTAATATTTTGGCTGGACTTGTTGCTTGGTTTATTTGCTGTTAGCCATTAAAACTAACCTTACGGTGTTTTTTAGCTTGCTTTGCTGCTTTTTTCCCCTCTTTTTTAGTATTTCAGACACTCCCCTTCGAATCTTGGCACATCTACATTTTTTCTTTTTTGTGTGTCAATGTTTTGAATACGAAACATTTGTTACAAAGCTGCTGCAAGCGATTGGGCTAATTGCAGTTGTTTTTCAACCTCAATTTTAATTTCTCTTGGAATAGTTGGAGTTACTACAATATTGAAGGTTGTTTGCAGACAGAGTGACTTTTGAGGTGACTTTGGAGCTGATACTATGTGACATATGCTGATGCTAGATGTTGTTGGTGTAGATTCAGAAGGCAGTGGCTGAGGTAGGGCAGTTCCTGATGCTAGCATTGGTGATGGTACTAATATAGATTCTGGTTGTTGAGATAATGATGGCTCAGTTTCAGATAATGGTGTTTCAAATGTATTAGCAATATGCAACTTTGACTGACGCTTTGTACTTTGGCCACCGCAAGCGCAACTTACTTTTTGGTGTATAGTTTTTCTTTTTTCTTTGCATACAAGTTGTTTCGAGGCATGTTTTATATTAAAATAGATTTAATAATAATTGGTTTGAAATTTATACACAAAATTTATTGAGATTGCTTGGTCACTTGAGACTTAATTAATAAAACCCACATTTAACAAGAGAGCAACTAGCGTATTTCATTCATTTATTAGAATTATTTAATAAAAGCAGTCAGTAAAAGTCATTCATTTAAATTCAGATAGAAAAATTTGTTCATTGAAATTTATACAAAAATTTATAGCTTAAAAATTTATATTTATAGAATAAACAGTGTCATAACTGTTTCATGCTACAAGTTGTTTCATGCTACAGTTGTTTCATGCTACCCGCTATTTCATTTTACCTTGTTTCACTCTATACAGCGATATAGTTTTAATAAATGGTTTTTGGAAAAATAATTTAAATTGCTAATAAAAAAGTTTAATAAATAAATTAAATAAATTAACGTAACTATTTTATTTGTTACTCATCAATCTTTTTAAAATAAAAAATCATTTTTAGTTCAAATTAGAAATTTAAGAAATAATCATTTTAAAAATTTTAACATATTTTAATTCATTTATACAAATGTTGAGAAAAAAAATGGTAATATTTAACTTATTTTGAGGTAATCAATACTTTTGCAGCAATTTAAAAAAGTCTTTAAAAAATAAAAAAATTAAGAGAATTTTATGACGTCAAATTCACATTAGGCTAATTTGTTAAGCATTTTTTATTCAAAACAAGGCCTGGAAATGAACATACATATTGTAACTTCTGGGTGAGCAAACACTGTGCCAGACACGGCTGTTTCAAGCAAGCTTTACGGCTTCTTTTTATTTTTTGAAAATATTTACGTAAAGGGTGTTACTAAAACTTTTATAACTTTTGAAACATTAGAGATAATTTTGTTCTGTAAAAAGAATAAAAACACCAATAAAATGTTTTATTTGATGATGTTTCACAGATATATTAAAAAACTTTAATTTTAGAATAAACGCGGCAAATGTTGAACTTGGCTAAATATTAGTAATTTGATGTTACTTTTTATCAAAAAAAAACTCAGAAAGAATATATTTTCGATATTTATTAGTAAATGTACACATTGTTGGACTATTATAAAAACAAAAAAATCTTACTTAAATGTTTAAGGTTAACTAAAACAGACGTTATTTTATGCTAGTAAAGCAAATCGAATTTTCGCAAAATTACGAAAATGTTGTTAAAAGGGGGACAAACTGTTGAATGACTAGTTTTTGAAAATTGATTCCATTAAATAAAAACAGATTTACATTTTAGAATATTTAGCCTAAAAATTTAAAGCTTAAGCTTTTAAAAAACTTTCTAATAACTTAAAGAACTTATCAATGGACCAACTGATTATAGAATAGTTTTTATGAGAATAAAAACAATTTCAAATTGCTATTTGTATATTTAAACACGCAAAAAAAAAATTAAAGTTGGCGTCTTTATTTATTAACATTCTCACAGTTCTAATGTGAGAATGTCAATAAATAAAGACGCCAACTTTAATTTTTTTTTTGCATGTTTAAATATACAAATAGCAATTTAAAATTGTTTTTATTCTCATAAAAACTATTCTATAATCAGTTGGTCCATTGATAAGTTCTTTAAGTTTTAAATCTTTGTACACACAGTTGATACTAGACTCATACTTCATTTTAAACCAGAAGAATAGTTGCTTGACTCAAAACTGTGACAATAACTTGTAGTTCTTAAGTTATATTTTTACACGAATTTGATATATATGAGAATTACATTCCATTTGTTAAAAAGAATTGAGGTAAAGCAGTGGTACCACAGAGGTAAAGTTATGTCATTGCTTTAAAATAAAAACAAAAATTTTACGCATGTAACTACAAAATTTGCCAAGGTTGAAGGAGTTTTAGTTAGAAGTACAGAAAGTAATTTTTTTGATTTTCATGTACATAAAGGGTTGAAATTTCAACAACTTGGAGGGCATAACAAACATTGAATGTTTTTTATATAAAACAAGTAAAAACAAAAAGAATAATGCTAAAAAAACTAACTTAAACTATTTTTTTTATCTATGCCCTCCAAAAATCTGATAAAATAAACATTCGTTTATAAATATGTAAATTTTCAATCATCAAGCACGTAGCTTAAAATATCAAATCTTAATTGGCCCAAGACAGTTTTTCCGTAAAATACGCAAAAAACAGAAAAGTGATCTAAAATCATTTAAAATATTGTTTATTTTTATTTCATTTTTTTTTTTTAATTATTCACCTCCCCAAGGCCCGAGGGGGCTACTACAGTTGAGGAGGCTACTCATTTTTTTTTTTTTTTTTTTGTTGTAAATCGTGGTATAACCCTCTCTCAACTCTTTAACTCCGAAACACGAACCTTGACAAGCAAGGCCGCTGCGCCGAGAAATTAAGTTGAGCGCAGTACTTCCAGGGACATGGTGGGAGTCGAACTCCCTTACAAAGCGAGCGCTCTTACCACTACACCACTACCGCATATTCATTTCATGTAAATATTTATTTAACGAAGAAAGATAGTTCTTTTATACTTTTTTAATTGGAAGATTAAAGCGTTTATAGAAAAAAATACTATTAATTTAAAGTTAGTGAATTTTTACACTCTTTATGCGGAAATTCATTTTTTATTTTAAAGACAAAAATTCTTGTGACGTCAAGCTTGCTTTTATATTGAGTGAAACAGCCGTGCACAGGACACAAACATACATATAGTAACTTACGGGTAATTATATACTATATACTATTATAATTATATACTATATACTATTATATATTATATACTAATATTGTCAACTGATGCACCATAGATTAATAATATACAAAATATCAAAATATAGACTTTTGAAATTAATAAAACATGTGTGGTGCTATATATAACTTTGCAAAAATGTTTGCAGTTTACCAACTTCCTTAATTTTCCAAAAAATTTTATTTAATGGCATCATGTGGAACAATGCAGATCTATTAAGATTAAACTTTACATGGACATGTGAACAATATTATTAAAAACAAAAAATATACATATATTATTAAAAATAAAAAAATGCAACAAACTTTCTTTCTTGATCCGCATATTCCTGATCTGTATAGCCTGTTAATAAACACGTTTTCAGTGTGATATCCTTAAAAAAAATATTTTTAAACATTGTTAAGTATAGATTTTTCAAGACAAAAAGTTTTTATATAACTGTTAACATTAAATATGATTTTAATATCTAATTTTTCAAATCAATATTTGTTATTTACTTAAAAAATAATTTGACTGCTAGTACAGCAATATTCATTAAACTAAAATAAAAATTACTTTATACCAACGAAAATTTTGATAATTTATTTTTTGACATTATTAGTCTGCAGCACCTAAAAGCATTTTTAAGTTTGCCATGTAGTTTGTAAGTGAAACTACCATTTTAACTTGAGATTTGATCTTTAAGTCATTAGAAACAATAACTGTAAGGATTTATACAACCTATCCCCATATTTTGCAGGACACAGAAATATATCAAGACATTCATTAAAAGTTTTTTTCTTACTCTCAGGCTTGGATAGGAATGGCATGCGATCGAGTGCTATTGCTGACCACGCTAATGATTTTATTTTTTGACAACTTGACCACGATTGTTTAATAAACAATGTTTATATGTTTTGATGAGTTAAAAATTTCAGAAATGTTCTGAATGTAGAAACACTAAGCTAAACTTAAACTAGGAAAAAAATTTAAAAAAAAAACTAACGAAAAAAAATTCCTAACAAAAAAAAAAACAAAAAAAAAGTTCTTAACGAAAAAGAAATTATATAAGCACTAAAATAAAAAATAAAAACTTAAACTCGAAGCAAAACCTTTTGTTACATTTTTAATTACATATGAAATAAACGTTAATAAAGTTTATCTTTTTAAGCATTATTAAAGTTACACAAAACGTTTTTAAATTACTAATAATGATTGGTTTAATAAAAAAACAAATTTTATTAAATTTATTAAAAAGTGTTTTATATAATATTTTTAAATAGTATAAACATTTATTTTGTTAAAAAAGTTGCAAAAAAAAAAAAATTGTTTAAAAAATAATGTAGTCTTTTTAGTAATTTTTACTAATTTCATGCTCTAATTAGTGAGTCTAATTTAAAAAAAGGTTTTGAACTTTTTTATTCGTAAAAATAGAAAAAATAAATAAATAAAATGCTCCTGCGATTTAAATAAAATAAACTGCCAACAAGCTTTTTAATTTAAATTTAATTTGAGCATTCAACTTTATTAATAAGCGCTTCACTTAACGAATTCAAAAATTATTATAAAAAATTTAATCTCATTCATTTCTAACAAAATTGAAAATAAAAAAAATAAAAAATTGTTTACAAAAAATAAAATGTTTATTTAAAACAATTTAAAAAATCGTAAGTTTAATCATAAAAATTATTTGTATGAACATTACAAAATGCTTTAAAACTTTTTCATTAAATCAACAAAGTATATGCTTATATAAGTAAATAAAGTTATTTTATATTCTTGAGTAATTCACATAAAATATGTAAAAGTTAGTAGTCACAAAATCTTTTGAACTTATTCACAAATTAAAGTAACATAAAAAAATTCTTTCTAAAAATAATGGTTTAAAAATATTTTAGGAAGACATAAGAAAATAGTTTCAAACGTTTAAATTTATCATAAAAAATAAATGCCTACATAAAAAAACTTATTTATAACGTTTTTTATTAATTTACACAAGCATTTATGTAAACAATAACTATAATTAATTTTATGGTTTTATTTAAAGCCTTTGCATAAAATAAAAACTTGAGAAAAGATCAACAATTAAAAGATATTTATAACGTAACAATTTTTTTATTGCATTCAAGTTGTTAAAACATCAAAATAGCCGTGGTCAAGTTGTAAAGAAATAAAATATTAGCGTGGTCAATTACAGAGTGCGATCGTATGCCATTCCTGACCAAGCCTGCACTCGTGAATTTAATATTCTGTTTGTTGCGTTCAACTGACTAAGGCATGTCACTTTTTACGCTTCATGTATTTCAATATAAATTATCAATAAATTGTCAATTATCCGTAAGTAAAATACGTAAATTAAATATTCCCTAGATACCAAGATAATTGCCATAAGAAAAAATCCATTCGAAATACCATAAAAAAACGTCATCGCGTGACATATAAAAAATTACAAACATTCTTAACTAAATACTAAAACGTTTATGACACACTCCGCAATTTGTAGATAAAATATCTACAAATTATCATCAAAATGCTCATCCAGAGCAGTAATATGTATAAGTTCTTCAGCTTTGGATTTTGTTTTTCGCAATGGTCTTTGCTTTGTAGTTTGTATTTGCTCTTTTGGCGTGGTATCACTAGTTTTTGAGTCGTTTATGTTTTCTTTATTCCCTTTAGGATCTTGGCAGCTAATTTCCAAAGGATAGAGCATCTGGATTGGTCTTTCCACAATTTGGTTATTTCTTGTTTTTAATTTAACACCATGAACTATATTGTCTTCTCCTCATATAAGTTTAGTAAATATACCAATTTTCCACTCGCCTCAATTCTTTTTTTCCCCTTTAAGTAAGAAAATCTCTCCCACTGCTATGTTGTTTTGACTAGATTCTTTGTATCAATGATTTTCTCACAGCGATCTTAAGTACTCGCTCGTACATCTTTTCCATGTCAAGTTTTTGCATTTCGCGATGTACTTTACCGCACGTGTTGTTGTATTGTCATTAAACTCTCGATTGTCATTATCTACTGTATTTTAGAAAGGGAAGGTAATACTTTCTTCATGAAAAACCATGTTTGGTGTTAACACTGGAAGTTGAATATCGTTTTCGATGTATCCTAATGGTCGGTTATTCAATGTATTTTCAATATCAATTAAAACTTCTATTAGACATTAGAAAGATAGGCGAAGCCTTCCAGTTGCTTTGTGTAACAATCATTTTACCAAACCCAACATTCTTTCAAAGAAACCTCCCCACCATGGACCTCTTGCTAAGTTGAACTGCCATTTTATGTTCATTTAACCTAGGTATTCATTTATCTGCAAATCCTTTTGTAATCAACCGATCCACCTCGCAGTGCTGACAAATGTTTTAGTGTTGTCACTTATTATAAGTGCAAGTGTCCCTCTTCTTGCAATCATTTCTTTTATGCTTCGTCTAAAATCTTCATTTTCCATTATTTTTAGCAGATCCAAATGGATAGCTCTTGAAGTTGCACAAGTATACAGTACAATATAAGATTTTCTGTAACACTTTTTGCTGACTTTATATTTGATTGGACCAGCAAAGTCCAAACCAATAATTTCAAAGGGATAACTACTTTTAGTTCGATACCTTGGCAAATCCGCTATTGATAGAGCTAGCAGGAGTTTGCACTTGAATCTTTTACACCAATTGCAATTGTATATTATTATTTTGACTTGGCTACATAGGGTATCTGTCCAATAGTGCTCGCGAATATTTGACATTGTTAACTTTTCGGAATTTTCATATTCGTGTTGAACATTTTTTATCAGTTCCTGCTTGGCTTTGTTTCGTTCGGCAGCTGATAACAAACCACATAATTCTTTTTGCTTCTGATGTTGTTAAAAAATGTTAAGACCCATGCCACTATTCTTATAATCTTTGGTAGTTGATACTTGCTCATAAGCTCATTTGAGTAGTAAACTTTCTCGACTATAGCAAAATGATGTTAGATATAGCAAAATGATATTAGTCGGATTAACTTCTATTATTACTTCTTCCATTTGAGAATGGACTATGTTGGGGGGCCACTCATTCTTTTTGGCCATTCATGTTGGACCGTTAAACTTCTTGGTATTGGTGTTAAATCTGGTAACTTATTTTTCTAATACAGCCAGCTCTCTGCTAACTCTGGTGAAATTGGTTTGTCCCAGGAATATTGTAAATCACATATTTGTCAATAGATTAGTTTTGCTGTTACCGTTATTGGGGAAATTCCACCAAGTGGATCAAAGACTTTAGCCAAACTTCCTAAAATTCCTTATTTGGTTAATCTATCTTTTTCGAGAGTCGGTCTGCAAACCACAATTAAAGTGTCATTACTTTTGTCCCATAACAAATCAAGAATTTTTGAATAGCGTTGCTGGTGTTCATTTAGGGTTACTTCATTATAGTTCTCTCCTGAATTATTTATTTCCAATTCATGAAAATTTGAATGCCACTTGTGAAAGTCGAATCCTTCCTTTTCGAATAAATGAATTGCTGTTAGCTTCAGATTTTTAACATATTCTATATCAATCTCTCCAGTGATTATGTCATCAACGTACATGCTCTTGTTGATTAATTGAATTTCATTCTTTTGATGCAGGTAATGATTTTCATATGTCAATAAATGTTGTTTGATTACTACCCAAGTATAAAGGGACTAGATGTACATCCAAACAGGATTCGAGTGAATTGCAGAGTTGTTACTTCTTTTATTTTAAGTCTGATATCCAATAGAAACAGAAGACATCACGATCTTTGATATCAATGCTTGGTTTAATGTCTCCAGTTAGACAAACAGGTTGCAATCGGTTTTAAAAATTAAAATATCTTCCTTTGCAATGATAGCAAGAACGTTTACTTCGGCAGCTCGATACTATGATTTGTTGAAGCGTTGTTAAAAATGCGATGGTTTTCTTTAAGGAATTGTTTTCTTTGCTGTGTTGAGCTAATTTTCGTGCATTCGTGACTGCGATAATTTTGTGAACTGCAATAAGCACTCTATAATTTTGACTTCGTTATGTTGAAAATGTTTTTCCATTTGATGTTTGTGCTTCCAATTATTGCGAGGTTTTATAGTTTCGTTATCTTTTCTGATAATATTGATTGATCGTCCAATAGATGCTTCCGGATTTCGTATTGTATAGTCACATAGCACTTCGATCAGCTGTTCAAACCCCCAATCCTGCCAATTTTAATCAGTTCCAGTGATGTTCATTTTAACAGGACCAAGCTTGTTGAGGGTTTTACGCACTAGAATTTCTGCTATCTCCAATTTGTTTAATGTTTTTAATGAGTTTACACTGACCTTTGATTTTGAATTGTAGAACTGATGCATTTGATTTACGTTAACATTTTCTATGAAGGGAAGATCCATAATATCACGACCATGCTGACAAATATTTAACACCATTTTTGCTTTTTCATAACCACTTGTATTAAACGGAAGTCCAGCAATTTCTTCTTTTGGAATGTTTGATAAGAGTTCACGTAGGTATGATAGCTTAGTTACAGGAGCATAGTTTGTGTTGTCAATTTCAGTGTTGAACTGTTCTTAGAACCATACTTAATCAAGAATGGTGCCATCAAACTTTGAAATTTGAAGTCTGGGAAGTTTTGTTTTAAAGTCGTTCGTATGTGTATTAGGCTTGCTTTGAGTTGCTTCTTGTCTTACGGGATCGATTTTTTCAAGCATCATTTTCTTTTTTATAATGTCTCTTTCTAATCGATGTTCTTCCAGTGGAGTAAAAATTTCACTTTGTTGTTTAATTAAGATGTTTCGCTGTTTCTTTTTAATTCTTCTATGTTTTGGATTAAGTTTCCAACAATTTTGCTTTGATAGTTGGTTCCAATTGTTCCAATGAATGTATATAGTTATTGTTCAATGCCATGCCTACTTCTAAACTAAATCGCTCAATTTTTGTTTTCGTTAGTTCCAATTTTCTTTTTAATGTTTGCGATAGGATTTTTGCGTTGCTTAGGAGGCACGTTAAATTTTGTTGTAGGTTTTCCTTAGACAGTTGATTACTTGTTGAAATTATAAGTTGATTCCAGTGTCCTGGCAGGGTCGCCATTTTATGTTGTGAATTTAATATTCTGTTTGTTGCGTTCAACTGACTAAGGCATATCACTTTTTACGCTTCATGTATTTCAATATAAATCAACAATATTTATACAAAACTGGCAATTATCCAAAAAATATATAAATTAAATATTCCCTAGACACCAAGATAATTGCCATAAGAAAAACCCAATCAAAATACCATAAAAAAAACGTCATCGCGTGACATAATAAATTACAAATATTCTTAACTAAATATTAAAACGTTTATGACAACACTTTTGATCTTATTTTCAAATTGTTAATAATTGTATGGACCTGAGTCATACTTGATAGGGAAAAAAGCTTACACAAAGCTGATCTATTAAAAAACATGATAAACCCTGTTTTATTGTGTTTTATATAATTTTTGGTAACAACTTCAAAAGAGACAACTTTAAACTGCAACCCCATAATTTAGCAGCATTATGGCATCAAGAGAAACAGATTTTCTGCAGCTATTAAATCAGACTTCCTCAAACTCTTACCATTGATAAAAAATTCAATTTGAAAATGATATGCTGGACTGGATAAGGCAACTGACTGCTCATGTCCTTAAACTTGGGGGAGAGGTCAGCTCACTGAAAAACCCAGGCAACAATAAACAAAGAAACAATTACAACTTTAAAACATAAAAAAATTGATCTTGAAAAAAACCATCCTAAAACAAGCAAAACCAACAAACAGTGGAGTAACAAACTCAGCCACCCTAGCGGACATCGTAAAAGGGGGCAAAAAAATAACAGACAGAGATAAAGCCATTGTTGTACAAGTTACTTGAGAAATGAACAAAAGAAAAAAATTACAAATAACGTAATTATAATCGGAGTCAATAAATGTGATTTAGAAGACTCAGAAGAAAGAAAAAAAAACAAAATAAGGAAAGCATCGAATCACTGATAGTTGCCCTAGGACTCAAAAAAGAAATTGTCAAAAGGGTATGCAGACAAAAACAACAGCAGCAAGTAGACTCGTCAAACAGAGCAACAAATGCAACCAACGCATTTGCAAACACGATAAGTGCAACTAATCGATCTCCACTAATAATAGTAGTACTCGAAAAACATAATAGCTAAATTAAACTGAAAAAGAATTGTAACAATGGACTAAGAACAATGGAAGGCTACAACAATGTGTACATTGATAAAGATAAAACAAAGACAGAACAAGACAGAAAAGAGAGTAAGAATTGAAAGATATGAGCATAACAGCAAACTAACTTACGTTGAACAAGAAAATGAAAAAACCTTGAGATACAAAAAAGAAAGAAATGGAAATCGCTACTATTGGGGGATACGCAATGGTGTACTCGTGTGGGTGCCACACAAAGAAGACCAATCCAATTTATAGCAAAAGAACCAAGCAATAAAAATTGTTGCAGCCTCATTGACATGTAAACAAGAAAAACAACTGAATGAAAACTCATCACCAATTAACAACTTCGTAACAATAACAAACAACGCTCAACATCATCATCTCGCTATAATATACCGTAATTCCATCATCAAATACTAGCCTGATCAAAGCCACGAAAAGTGAATACTTTTACCAATTTGGTTTGCCACATGACAAAATATAGCAATTTATACAGCAACTTAATCATCAAATATCAACTTGATCACAGCAGCAAAAAACCAATACCACCATCAGTTAAGTTTGCCACATGATACCACAAACTTGCAACCAATTAAGATAGCGGCAATAAATAATGACAAACATATAAGATGTATATACATGAATGCAACATCGCTAAATGCAAACAAACTCAACAAACTCACAGCATATGTCTTAAATAACTGCCCCCACATAATTTTAGTAAGTAAAAATTTATGTTAGCAAAGACCTACCATCTATTGAAATAGATTATAAAGAATTAACAGACACAAACTACGAGCAAATTTGGCTTTCGTTAAACATAAACAATGAAAACATTATAATAGGGTGTTTATATCGACCACCATCTACCTCAAGATATACAAAAGATCTGTCAACCAATACTGCAATCAGAAGAAGCATTAGCTACTTGTTGACACTAAAAAATTCACTATTGATCATATTTAATGTATCATTGCGCTCAGGAGAAATACCAACAGCATGGCTAGACGCAAACAAAACGCAGATATTTAAAAAAGCAAGCCCAACAGATCATGGAAACTTTAGACCAATTAGCTTGACTTTGGTCCCAAGTAAAATTATGGAGAAAATAGTAAGGAATGAACTTAAAAACAAACTTTTTGTAGTGAACATGGTTTTGTCCTGAATAATGGAAACTATGGAGCCACCATAACAATGGCAAAAAAAACCCACTAGATATCGTATTTCTCAACTTTTCACATGCATTTAATTTAGAACAGCATACTAGCCATATTGAGAAACTGAACAAATATGGAATAACAGGTCAATTGCTTGCATAGATTTGATCATTTTTAACAAATCGACAACAGCGAGTTGTTCTAGGCAACACAACATCAAGATGGGGACCAGTGTCTAGCGGTGTTATCCAAGGATCAAAAAAACAAGCCAATAAAGCCGCATTTATCGCAAATAAATTTCTTGGACTGTTAAAAAATAAGTTTATATCGCAAGATCCAGCACTATGAAAAAAACTTGATACAACATATGTTAGACAACATTTGGAATATGCAATATATTCCAAATATACTGCATATTCAAATGTGGTTCTTGAATATTCAGCATATTTGGAATATGTAATATATTCCAAATATACTGCATATTTCAAAAACCTCCAACATAGTTTGTTACAGTGGCTTATCCTTGGATGGGTTACTTTTGGTGAGTCAATAAGCTCGAATCGCAACTTATTATAACTAACTAAATAACTATAAGCTGTCCTTCCAACTTTGTAGACACCCAAAAAACCTTTCTGGATTTTATCCTTAATTACCCATTTTGTCAGTATCACATCTGCAAGATTAACCAATAAAGCATTGAAAACCTCTAGGCAAACTTTGAACCAACGAAACAAATTTTTATCTTTATTTCAATGTTTATGAATGTCAATTCTCATTACATTATATTATTAGTAGTTATAATATTTCTTAATTTTTATGGTTTATTTGGTAATACAGGTTGTTTTATTTTTATAGTTTTTTAAAAGAAAAATTTGTTCAAAGCTGCTTCAAAGTATTTTGACAACTTCACTTGAGATTCGAAAATAATTTTAATTAAAGTGTGAACCAAATTATAAAAGATTTTTTGGGGAATTTCTTAAAGACTTTTAAAAGATTTTTAGCAATAAGGTCACAGCTCCAAAAAAAAAAAAAAAAAAGGAACAAAGATTTTAATTTTTCAGAAAAAAAGTTTTTTTTTTTGTTAAAACATTACAAAACCTAGTACATTTTCTTTTTTGCTGCTTAGAAAAAGTTGGCAAGTTTTTTTCATTTCTAGAAGTGCCCGCAGCACCTAATCAATACATCAAGGTAAATGCAATATAGCTTTTTAAGAAATCAAGTAAAAATCTTAAAATTTTTTTTTATAAACTTTATGGTTTACTACTTTATAAATATTTTTAATGTTATTAAGAAAATATTTAAGCTAACTAATTTATTTGATTCATAGGAATAAAAACAATTAGATTTTAAATAAATTTTTAAATATTTCATCAACTATGCAAACAGTAATAAGTATTTATAAAGAATATAAGTAAAACAGGAAATTTTTAAATATAAGTACTAGCTAAAAACAATGTTAATTATATAACCGTTATTTTAAATATTTAAAATTTGTTATTTTAAAAATTAAACAGATAATTATAATTTTAAATTTTAATAACATCTTAGAGTAAGCTTACTAATGACCAAAACACTGTAACTAAAATCACAAAATGTGATATCAAAGCCAAGAAACGAACAGGAATAAAACTTCCAGCAGCATTCATTTTATTACATTCTGTGATATCTAGAAAAAATTCTAAATTTTAACTATTAATTTTTGTAACTTTTAACATTTTTAGATAGTTAACAAATAATAATAATAATAACAATAATAAATATTATTATTAATATAAATAAATACGCCATACTCATTTATAACATGTTCATTTTACCATATATACCCGTATATATACTGTGTAAATTGTTAGACGTTTTGAATGACTCATCATTAGTAAAATATAAAACTCATCATTAGTAAAATATAAAGCTCATCATTAGTAAAATATAAAACTCATCATTAGTAAAATATAAAACTCATCATTAGTAAAATATATAACTACAAAATTTAAATTCTTATATATGAAACTTTTAAAAATCTATTTATTATGTATAAAATGATAGTTGCCTATACGGAAAATAAAAAGCAAATAAACCAGAGTCCTTTAAAACTAATTTAAATCAATTTTTCCTGTTTTCTGGCAAAAGTTTCATAAATAGTGTACCTTATCCTAAAATTGGTTGTTAAAGCCATTACAAACATTTTTTATTATTTTAGACATTAATTTTTAGTGAAATCCATAAATCTTAAAAAATTGAAAAAAATTTTGAATTTATGTTGTTTTTTAAATTTTGAAGAATGTGTGGTTTTTTATCTTCCACAAGACAGTCACAGCTAAAAAAAGATTTTGATTTGATTAAAAATCTTTAGTTATATATTAAAACTGTCATTCCTATTCGTTATGCAAAACACATTTACAAAAACTGACAAAAATATGTTTGATATAATTTGCAAAGGTATATTAAACCGCATCTCAAGTATTCTATTCAAATTTGGAATTCACATTATAAATAAAGACACTTGAAAAAGTGCAACAAAAAGCTACAAAATTGGTTTTGAGTATTCAAACTTATGATAACAATACTAGGCTGAAAATTTTCAAATATCACAACATTAGAAGAATAAAAACCAGAGCAGATGCTATTGAGTATTCTAAAATAGTAAGAGGAATAGATTTTGTAACACTTAACAACCTTAATCAAGCTCAATCGATCAATGTATTAGGACTGGTATCCAGTATTTGTAAATATAAATTAAAAATTGATAAAGAATTTGTCAGGAACTATAAATCCCAAAATCATTTCTTTATAAATAGATTAGCATCAAAATGGAACAAACTCCCTAACTCAGTCATATCAGCCAAAAATGTTTTGGATTTCATGAGAAAATATGATAAGTATGAAATGAGTGCTGTTTAAAGGAAGACTTTCACAGTTATCTTCATAACAAACTAAAATTTGCACTTAATGGTTTATATATCTTAGTATTATTTGTTTTTTTATAGCTTAATAATAATTATTATTATTATCTTGTTAAACTATTCTGATTTGATGTATGTGATAAAACAACATTTCTCAAATTGATTTTGAAATTGAAAGTATGTATGTATGTATTTATGTATGTATGTATGTATGTATGTATGTATGTATGTATGTATGTTTGTATATATATATATATATATATATATATATATATATATATATATATATATATATATATATTTATTTATTTATATTTATATATATATATATTATATATATATATATATATATTTATTTATATTTATATATATATATATATATATATATATATATATATATATATATATATATATATATATATATATATATATATATATATATATATATATATATATATATATATATATATATATATATATATATATATATATATGAAAAAAAAATTACAACTTTAAATTTAAAATTAAAGATAGAAATTAAAAGATTTATAGTTTTTTATGCAGAAAATGAAATACAATGAGACAAATTTACAAGATCATGGAATTTTTGGATTTTTAGTTTAGAAAATTTTGTTTGAATATTAGATTTCAATGGTGAAAGCCATTATTATGATTGATGCATGTTGTAAAAACTAGTGACACAATTTATAAAGTTAGAATTTTGACCCAAAGCAATTAACAATAGCTAAGATAATAAAAGAACAAAGACTAATAGATCAATTTAAGAGTTTGGATAGGAACATAAAATGAATCAGGAAAGCATACTGCTATCTTGTGTAAGTTTTATCTTAAATGATTTAGTCAACCATACCAAGGTTTTCATAAAGATATACTCCAAAATACTATACATAAGAAAGAAAATTTTTTCTGTTTATAATCTGATGGTTTTCAGCAAATTTGCTGCATTGAAAACAATGATTCCCATTTAAAAACAAGCATTGAAAAAATGATTCCCATTTAAAAAGTCACATTAACAATGAAAAAGTTTTTATTTATATATAAAAGACTGGTATCATCAGCATAATGATGTACGAGAGAAATTGTTAATAAGTAATGAGCTTATAGTCAAACTATTAGATGGAACTATTGAACTAATCTAATAAACTATTAGATGGATAATACATTGATGAAATAAACATACTTATTATTTCATACAACTAATGTCAACAAGTTGTTAACAAGTGCTATCCTTGTTTGCAGCAATTCCAATAAAAATAAAAATAAAATGACATTAACTATACAATCAACAAAACTTAATATAAAAAGTCAAGTTTATCTTTATATAAAAAATATACATTTATAAATTTATACCATAAAAAGTTATAAATTTATAACATAAAAATCTTTTTGTTGCAATACTACACAAAAATTTAGTTTTAAGATGTCAATCTTTTTTTTGAGGAGGGATAAAAATAATAAATTCAAATTTGCTGACATTTATTGAAAATATGATTTTTATTTTATGTCACATAAACAATGAAGATGTTACATAAAATTAATTAAAGTTAACGTTACATAAAATTAACTAAACTTTATGTAAAAATACTTTTTTCTTCATAAGCAAAAATGTTTTAAAAATTGAGAATAAAAAAATAATACACAAATTTGTACTTATTTACTTAGGATAAACAAAATTTAAAATAGGGTAAAAAATTAAAAAGGTTTTGTGGTTCTTGTTATTGTTTTTATTGGTTTAGTAAAAACAATCATAAAATAATAAAAATTTTTAATCTTGTTTTTTTTTTAGTCGCAAATTAATTGATAATAAAAAGTAAAAAATAAACTATTTCACGAGACCCAAGGACATTGGGTACGTACACAAACTGAAATATTCATTAAAGTCAATGACAGAAAATATTGGGCGCCAATAGGAACGAGTTGTACTTAGTTCTATTTATTATTCAATTTATAATTTATTTACGCTTAACTAAAACTTCTATAACGCTAAACTAAAAGTTTGTTGTTTACTTTAACTACTTAACGTTTTTTTAATTTACCCTAAGCTAACCGCCTGTTTTGCGTTGTTTGTTTCAATAGAAATCGAAACGCCAACTGCAACCGCAACTTCCGAGTACAAATTGTTGATGATGCGCATGCGTGTGATTAGGGTAAAACCCTAGTCGCGTTTTAAAGTTCTAGGCGGGACGTAAAAATTAAAGTTTTAGCGTTGCGTTAAAAACGTGAAATGGTTATGAAAACGTCACAAAGTTTGGGTTTTTTTATGCGGTTTTTAAATTCATATTGTTAATCCTCTAATTGTTTTTATTTTAAATCTGAATTACTAACTTTATATTATATTTATATAATAAATTACAAAAACTAATAATAAATTGCAAAAAGGCTTTTATAAATAATATATATGTATGAATATATATATATATATATATATATATATATATATATATATATATATATATATATATATATATATATATATACAGAGTTGGACTGGCTTGATAAAACGGCCCAGGAAATTCGGTCATGGCGGCCCACCTTATCTTATATTTCATTTATTTAATATTATTTTATGTATAAATAATGTTTTTAATCTTCCCCACCTAAATATTGAGAAAAAATATATATATATTTCTAAAACACTGCTGTAAGTTGAAATTTAGACATAGTTTAGAAATAGTAGACACAATCGCTATTCACTATTGACTAATATAGTAACTTTTTCATTGTTTGACTAGCCGATGCCAAACATCAATGATTGCATTGTTATTAATTCTTGTAAGAAGATCTTTTTCACAAGATACTAGGATAAATAATTTAAGTGGCTCATCAAATTCCTTAATCTGTTCAAAACATATTTAATTTTAAAAATGACCTTTCACAAGCAACTTGTGATGAGGATGATGTCAACACAAATTTATACACCAGAAACAAATGTAAATACGCAAGATTATGCAAATTGAATTTCTGGAGTACAAAGTAACAACGAATAATACATTTTTTGCAAAATTTGCATTTATTCCTATGGCTGTCGTTGTTTTCTACTGCTGGGACAGACAGTTTCAAATTCTGTGGATTTAGATTGTCAGTTATTGTTCGAGACAGAGTTAGATACTTCCGTGTCAAATAGCAAATTATACTCATTTTCAAGAGATATTTCGAAACGCTTCCTTACAAAATACAACAACTCCTTTTGAAGCTTTTAAACTTTTTGCTTCGTTAAAATAATATCATCACACGTGAATAATTCTGTGGCACAAAATTTTGGTGCTAAAATAATGAAATTAATTTTTTCATAAAGAAAAATATATTAGCTTAAAATCCAATTCGTTTTAGTTTGAAAAACAATGCATAGAAACATTTATTTTTGACTTTATTTAAAGATGCCATTTTTGTGTAATATAAGCATGCTCAAATTACCCAGTGTTTTTCATTGAAATTACTTAGTTTAAAGTCCTAAAATAGCAGTGGGTTTTTAATTGCTTCTTGAATAAAAACAAAACATAGTAAAATATTTTTATATTTTAACACTACTAAATATTTTTCTGTAATTTAAATTTACAAAATTTTAATTTTTATTGTTCAAAGGCTTGAGTTAATAAAATTGAAAAAAAAACGTATTAATTTTTTTTTATTTTTTTTGCGGAAAACATATTAGTATTGTTTCAACAAAATGTAGCTTAAAATTTGATCTTTTAATGATAAGTTTTGTTTATCACGAATCCCTATATTCCAAAAATTAGTTCTTTTAGTCAGGTTGGTCT